GCGTTAGAACAACGGTCATATTTAGATTGGCGAAAGTGAATAAGAACATTCAGAATTTTTGCAATTTTCTCAGACTTCTGGCAATGGTTGTATTTCATATCCATTCGAGTTATAAGGATCCAAAAATTGTCACAGAAGTAGTGGTTTCTGCATCTTGGATCTTACACATTTTTTTCCTATATAAAAATCAGTGCACGAGAAAATAGTTGATCTATAGGAAATAAGTCAGGATAATACGATGAACAGTGGCAGCGGTTTGATTTCAAGCCACGAGTGCAGTCGGCGGTATGCTACTGAATTATTGCTAATTTGCATTTAACTGCTAATCGGAAATCAAGCACATTTGGCTTTTGCTATTTTCTAACAGTAAATAAAGGCTAAAAGGTGCTACTGTTTGGTTAGGGAATTTGGAGTCAATAGGATAGTGAGAAGAATTTTTGACCGAAGGTAATTGTAGGGAGAGGTTTACTGCTAACTGGGAAACTTTCAAGTTTAAGGAGAGGATAGAATTTTTTGAGTATTTTCAGGATTTTTTTAAGCAGTCTAAATTTGTTGAGATAGAATTTTTGAACTTTTTTTGAACTGAACAGTAGCAGTCCTTGACATTTGTATTTTTTAAGTTTTTCCTGAAATTAAGATACGGTTGATTGTATGTCAAACAGAAATGATTTCTTGTGAAATGTTTGATCAAAAATAAATCAAGTTTTTTCATCCTATACCAGCCGTATATACCCTGAATGCGTACAGTTTCTCGAATGGATTTCTTGATCTACAATATCATAGGCATTCGTAAGTTACTAGAAATTGATGTTTTGCGTAGCTCATTCCAGACATTTACGGCTGGTAATCAATTGAAAAAGAAGAACGATGACAGGAAACCAAATATCGTTTTTTTTTTTTTTTTCAGATTTATTGTGTTCAAAATTCCACTTCTTAATTTTCTTTTTTTTTTGTTTTTTACTTGAAAATACAATTGGGGTTAAACTTTGAAGGTTTGATCAACAAATATCAAACTTTGTTCCTTTGTAGTTTATTTCGTTGTTAAAGACAAAGGCTGCAAGTTCCGTTTGATAAAATTCAATTGGCCTTGATTAGAGCATCTTAATTTTTTTAGTTTTCTTAAAATAGTATTGGATGAGAATGAAGTTAGCAAATGTCGCACAGACAAGGCTAAATGTTACAACCAGTTAAAAAAAAGTACTATTAAACGTTTCACTGTAAAGAACAAAATTCCACAGGTGTAAATGTTAAATAAGAAAAGATTCTAGGTCCAACTTCAAGATAACTATTAAAATACATTCAAAAAGTTTAATTTTTTTCCACCATAGATATCCGATAAATTCAGAAATGATGGTTTTTTTTTAATATAAAAAAGTAGTCCGATGCATGGGAGAGCTCACTACCGACTGCTTTGTTGAAGAATGCAAGGCGAAGGATCAATGTTTTACAGGAATGAACCCCGTAAAATTTACATTCACTTTAACACAGGACGATTTAAACAGTTTTAAAGTAGGTTACTGATTTTTGGACCATGTGGGAAAGAAAATTTTGACGACTTTCAAACATTTAAAACTATGTACTATTTCTGTCAATGTTCTTTCAACATTAACGTAAATTTTGTACCATTGCAGAAAGATAGTATTTCGAAGATTGTTTTAATACAAAAACTTAATTAAGCTGGCTCATCAGCCTCTGAAATCCATTAAAATTCAATTTCCTCCAACGCGTGAACCTCGTGACGGAATTTTCAAAACTATTTTCAAGTCACTTTCTGAAATAAGCACTTTTGAGACTATGGTCAATGAAGTTGTAGTTAGTGAGAAACAAATATTTCTAAGCGCATTCTTAGTTCTTCAAAAGTGTACTGTGTCCACTTCTCCAACCTTATCTCAAAATATACTCAAAAGTAAAACTATCAGCAGCTGCTATCCTTAACAGTAATAAACATTTTTCTCTGATAGGTTCCTTATCGACTGTTCTGTCAACACAGTTATTCGTTTCACAACATCAACAGATAACGTTAAGGTAATATTGCTCTGAAATTACCGTGCAAAGCAGCGTTTCGTCCAGTAAGAAATTCCCCGTTTGATATTGCGTCCTTTGTAGCATTCAAAGCTTATTGTTCTTGTCCTAAACCGTAATGCACCTGTGCAAAGTTTTACACTTCCAGTTTTTATCCTCGTCTAAGTATTTAGAGCTTGTACGATAATCTTTCGTACTGACGGTTTTACAATGTACAGATATTGGTGAGGTTGTTGGCAAAGACCTTTCACTTTTACGCGACCACCTTCTACTTATTGGTGACTAATGCTCAACGTTTTATTTCGTCTAAAGTCGTCGCCCCTAAGCAGTCCAATTTGAAAATGATTTAAGTCAATTTTTTCATGAAAAATTTAGACGGCAGAGGAAACCCTCAATCTTTTTATCGAGATTCAATTCGTGTTTTTTTGATAAAGACTACCTTTTCCGTCTTTTATTCAATGACCCAAGGTTTTTAGGTATCCACTACCCAGATACTTTTCTGAGCTGTCTACATTGTTATTCAATAATAAAGCTTAGGATTTTAAGTATTAAGTCTTAAATATCAAACTAAACCAGAAAAAATCTTTTTTAACTCACTTCAAATGCAAAGCGTGATATTTTGACATTGAGTAGTCAGGGCCTGCATATATTTTCAGTTTTACAGGCGGCCACATTCATTTGCGGTGAAGCAGCTCTTCAGCAAACGGATGTCGTGCTCTCGAACCTCATTATCCAGAAAGTTTGATTGTTTGTTAAGAACACGTCTCAGTCCAGCTCACTAATTTAATCAGTTCTCCTTACTGAACAACTTACTGCATATTGAGTTAGTTTTTCCACCACTTATCGTTGCAACCGCTCGCAAAAGACACCGTATGGAAAGTTCGAGGTTACTGTAGCTTCCTCGGAAGAAGCTCCCGGAGAGTTTGCAGACTGACCATCTGAGCTGACGGAAATCGGGTATGAAAAGGGCAGTAATTTCAAGGTTAACCAATGTTCTTGGTCGTCAGTGTTGACAATAAAGCTATCTTCAGGCGCTTCAAGCGTTAAACCTCTATTCAGCAATTTACTGCATTCACTGCTTAATTTTGTGTTTTTTCTATACTTCAGTTTGTACCCGTTTGGCAGCTTTGGATCTCTTCGGGGAGTTTAGAGTTGTTATTATTTTAACTGGTACCACTACTTTCTTGTTAGGTCTAGTTGTTGGGCACAAATTAGTGTTGCCAAGATTTGCTGATTGTAAATTTAAGGGTGGAAAGAGAATAAAGAAGTTAAAGTATAAGGCAAAGTTTCATTAACATAAACGATTATCATCTAAAAAGTATTTTGGGTAATAAGACAGTTGTAAAGAGGAGGGAAATTGAAGGCACAGAAGTTACAGAACTTAAAAGTAGAAGATCAAGTAGCTATTAGTAGGCGCTGTGGTACGTGGGGGCTAATTACGTCCACATTTGAAGTATCGTAAAATAAGAGAGGCCCACGTAGAGTGTAGGAAGGATTACAGTAGTAATCGTTCTACAATTTAGGAAAATGTCAACTAGCCACGACACTTACCCTCCTCTAACCACGGTGATTTTCTTCAAATATTATTAAAAATGAATAAAAAACAGAAGAAACACATAAGCTTTTACAAGTTATTTCTAAACATGTCAAAAATCACAAAACTGCAATCAGTAATAGAGAAGTAAACCTAGAGCGAAACATACACTATGTAACCTACCAGAGTGTAATGAAAGATATTAAGAAGACCGTGCCCAACGATTGATCTCGGTAGCAGAATCTCAGTTAAAAGAAAATACAAGTTAAGGTGCTGAATATGACCAAAAAATAAAATTGGCAAATCTTACAAGAGATGATTTACATCATATTGCACATCTTTTTTTTTTTTGCTGAACCTCGCTTTTGACTAAATCTTTTATTTTTTTTCAACTATGTATTGGCACTGGGAAACTGAACAACGCTTTCTGTAACGCCCACTCAAAAACCCATGACTAACTTCTACTTCTAGACTTTTAGATTAATATTAGGGGGAATTTTAGAGTTATGAGTGTCGGCCTGTCATTCATACAACGAAAGATATTTCAAATCCTATCCCTCTCTTAACAACCAATAATGCCAATTACTTTTTTTTTTTCAAAACAATAACAGAACTAAATGCAGTACGAATCGTTCGAAACAGCTAAGCAACAGAACTACTCACAAGTGAACTTCACGAGTTACAAAACTGCAAGGTCATATTTGAATCTTTTTCGAACTTTCTAATGTCGCCGATAAGCTGTTTCAATTTAGGTCACACAACTTCCTCCTCATTAGAACAGTTCTCTCTGTTTTAATTTTTTCCACCTCTCCTCAAAAAAAAAGCTACGTAAAACCCATGCTTTAAATCACAATTCCCCCTGCAATCCCAAACAATTTACAGCTAGCCTATGAAGCGTTCATGTACCCACACACTAAAATTCATCTAAAAAATCATTCTGAAGTCCCGCAGTACAAGTTGCCTGAGCAAAGTACAAATAATGACTGTAATTAAACTCACTCACCAAAAAATGAACAGTCTTAGCAAAAAATGTAATTAACAACTATTCGTCCTTTGCAATTAGCAAGAAAGTAACTGATAAAACAGTTTTCATCCACAAGTTAATAAAAAATCTAATAAAAAAATCTGAGAAAAAATTTCGGTTATTCGAAGCAAGAAGAACTCTGGTAAGCTTCAAGTATGTATTTACTTAACTTTGAAAAGCCTCTTCACTGTTATGCTAGGAAAATATCCGTATCAAATATCAATTTTTTCGTCGTGGCAGCAGAGCATACCGTTTTGTTAATTTTCTAAAACAAAACTGGCCTGACAAACAGGTTCAAAAACCCCTTTTTATTGCAGAATAAATAATTGAATACCTTCATAATAAAGTTATAATAAGCTACTGGTTAGAAGAGTTGACTACTGAGCCAACCACAAGAGGTATTTTGAATAAACAAGTTGTTCAAAGTGCTTTAATAAGCTCCGGAACTGCCTTGAATAAATCTGCCTTTAGTCCGAAATCGGCAACCTGGAAAAGCAAAAAAAATTTCGGAAATTTTCACTTTTTTAATTTTGGGCTACAATAATAGTGACAATAAGTACCTGAAAGATTGGTGCGTCGGGATCCTTATTTATAGCTACTATTATTTTACTGTCTTTCATGCCGGCCAAGTGCTGAATGGCTCCACTAATGCCAACAGCAATGTATAAAGCCTAAATTTATTGCTCTTTCACGCCAACAAAACCAAATGTAAAGAACTTGACAAAGTAAGAATGATCTAAGAAGTGTAATTTGTACAACAAAGAATATAAGGTGAAGAAAGACAGATAGTTTTGAACCAAGTTACTTAAAATGAATTTTGATTTAGACATCAGCAAAGTCATATGTAAAGAACATTATTATTAATAGCTTCAAAGGCAGCTCTTACAGGTGCAACAACTTTCCCGGTTTGTCCAACTTGCAGGTCGTTTGATACATATCCAGCATCAACTGCTGCTCGGGATGCACCAACAGCGGCATTAAGCTTGTCAGCAAGTTCATAGATAAGTTTAAAATTTTCAGACGAACCTAATCCTCTTCCACCGGAAACAACAACCTTGGCACTTTGCAAATCTGGCCTTTCTGACTTGGCAATTTCTTGCCCCAGAAATTCTGTGTTACCATTAGGAATCTCGCAACTAGGAGCTGAATTACTTTACAGGTATTAAACACAGATAAATAAGACTAACTCAATGCAAAAATAATAATAAAAGAAAAAAGAGAAGAAACAAAAACTAAAATTAAGAACGCTTCTGAAAATTTCAAAAAATTACCATCTTCAATGACAGCATTGCCGCCTCCAATAGCTGCTGGGGGAAAAGCAGTTGACCTGATTGTTAGCAACTTAACAGGAACTAAACTTTTCACCTAAAGGAAAATCCCCGACTTTACTAGTAGATTAATTAAAACTAGATAAGAAAACAGGAAATCAATAGTTAGATAACCAACAAAATTCGTATTTATGAAGAGTCACCTTACAAAGAGCGTTTCCAGCGTAAATAGGCCTTACGAAAGTATCTTCCGATATTATTGAAATAATGTCACTGACTGGCGAAACATCAAGCTTTGCAGCGACCCGAGGTATAAGGGACCTTCCAAAGGCAGACACTCCCGCAACTATGCTTCCAAAATTGAACTGCTTTTGCGCTGCGAGAACAACGCTAGTCATACGCTCTTCAATGATGAAAATTATGATGCGAAACAAATATTAGCAGATAAGAATCAGAATTTGCTATTTCAAAAACAATACTCCTTTTGAAAGTATTAACAATCTTTGATAAAGTATTTTTACAATATAGGAAGCACAACCTGGCAATTGACCCTTCAGCTTTTCATTTTGGGCTACGAGAACTTTTTTAACGTGTTCGGTTTTCCCAACCTAAAGTTAAAATACCAAGATAGATCACCCTCAAGGTAATAAAAAAATTTCCTTATTTGTTCCTTATTTTTTTCCTTATTTTAAGCAAACAACTCTTGTTAGTTGGCCACAGTTTTGCAAATATAGTCTCTGAGAAAATAAAAGGCTAAAATGTTTGCTTTGCCTGCAAATCTATGGAGTCTGAAAGTAAAGTGAAAAATGAACGAATGTGTATTATTCCAAAGCCTCAGTGCCATCAGAAAAATTCAAAAATTCGTTTGCAACAACCAAATTCGTACTGAATGCCAGCAAGGTTTTCGACATTTCAACTATTAATTAAGTCCAAACAAACCGTTTCAGCGATTTTTTTAGCATTAGTGCCTCCCACAAGCACCGTCACATCCCCAAGTTTTGAGGCAGCGCTGATCGCATTTAGGGTCACTGGGTGTAGATTTGTCTCGTCATGTTCAACTAGTACAAGAGTACTTGCAAGTCGCAAAGATCTCTTTAAATCAACGATGTTCAATAATTAATATAAAACTAACAAAAAAAAAAACATGATTTCTACAATGATAAAGTTATATCAGTGGTCGGCCTCTTAAAAAAATGTATAACTTTGACCTTACGGGTCACATAAAGATCCTATCAGAACTAAAATTATACTCCAAACAAATCCGCTGGCTTACAGTAAAAGTGCTAAATAATATTAAAATAAGTAGTGAAAAATCAAATAGATAGTCAACATTTACAAGACGTTCTTAACCAAATAGATTCTCATTAGGCTCATATGCGGCCTGAAGTTATAGTACTACAATTACCACTCAAACCAAAAATATATTAATGGAAGTATCATCCACGAACAAGCGGAAGCATAAATTTTGATTTTAAATTTAAATAAAAACTATTCTCCTACCATTAATTATTAGAGTCATTTAAACATAAGAATGATGTAACATTTGAATGAAAAAATGAAACATAGTCCAAAAAGCTCATTGGAGGTGATTTAAATATAAAATATGAAAAGGTTATGTGTCACTGGAGTTAATCGAAAAAGTGACAAAAATTTGCAATAAAGTTAACTTATTCAAAAAATAGTGAACAGACCAGATGATGCCTTCCTATCAGCGTTTTAAGTGAGTTTGATGAAAGCATTATCCAGCAATAAGTTTGAAGTCGAAAAGCTGAAAGCAAAACAGTGCTTTTATCAAAAACAATTAAAACAAAGTCCGGAACGAAAAAAAAAAGAACAGACAACCAGCAGCAATCCAAGAAGCGATTTAACCAAAGTGTTTGAGGTAACAAAAGGCATTAAAATGATATCCACTTACTGTTGCTTAATAAAAAATACTTGTTGCAAATTATTCTGCTATCTCAAAAGAACTTTTATGCACCAGAAAAAAAAGAGTCCAATTGAATGATACAGTTATAACACATTACCAGGTTTAGTGAATGTAACATGTACAAAAAACGTTAAGGTTCAAATTTCTAACCTAAAGCATCTTCACGAAAAAAACAGTCACTTTGAGAATAGGCGGTTCAAAAACTTGATGTTGGCAACTGTCACTTTACCAACAACCATTTGTTGAGCCATAAACTGCGTATTGGTCACTGGTAACATCAAACACCCAAATGCAGACGACGATAGTTTCTTCCAAGCTCCTTCCAGGCACCCAACACACCGAAAATGATATGGCGCTGATAATCTGGCAGGTTCACCGTTGGACTCCTGCCAACTGCGGGCAGATGCAGCACTCAACTAGGAGATCACCGATCAAATGGCGCCAGTCGGTTTCCCGGCTGGTCGTCAGGCACTAATGGGTTTTTTTACTTCTGGGGTACTTTTTTTTTCTTCAATTTTGTATAGAATTTAACGAATGAAGTATGAAACTTTTTACTTGTTTCTCCTTTATTTGGTAGTTTCATTAACAGCAACTGTATATTTAGCACCAAATTTTCCACTTATTTTCAGCAAAACTTAAGACAGTACTAGTATTTTTTATTAAGCAGTGAGATTCTGAAGATTTTTGTTGAATGACAAAGCCACTTGCTGATTTCAAATCCTCTTGATATAGTCGTTGTGGAAAATTGCTTTTTGGCTTCTTTACACATGCCTGATCGGTCGTCAGAACTATTTGTGAAAGAAAAATTATTTTTCTTCCTGCTAACAAAGCCTTAAGTTTACTGCTCCACTGTTTCGTTCTTTATACCATCATTTTATTACCGTTCTTACCAATAAACTCATATTCTATGTCTGTAACCTTTTAAATCACTAAATGAAGGCTGGTAGGTTGACCAAAAGGTCACCGTTTGGCCGATACACATAACATACAATACAGAAATAAATTGCATCTCTTGTTGGAAGTTAGTTACTAGTTCAAAAGCTCAAAGTCACTGATATGAAAAGAATAGTGATAGAGAAAGTAGAATATGCAAGAAGAATATGATAAGGAGATGATGCTACAAATAAAGTGAACCGGTAAATGCGAGACGTAGAAAAAGTTGAAATAATTTAAAGATCCTAGTTTCAGTGTTTAGAATGGAAAGAAATGACTGGGCATAGATTCAAATGAAACATTTTCGAATGGTGTAATGGTATCATTTCGTCAGTTATTACGTCAGTTATTAACACTGATGTTCATTAAGATGAGCGACGTATTCCAAGAAAAGATAAAATTTTTTTTTGTTTTTTCAGTCAACTCTTTTAGTAGTTGAAAGTTCAGAAGATTGTTCATCCAATTTGTTTGCTGTTTATCTGTGTTGTTCTTAAAAAAACATTTCCTGAGGTGACTTTTGCATTCACCTTAAACGATTGCATTTTTGACGGTTGAACTATACGTGTATAGAGATTGTATTTAACGTTATTTCCCCAGATAGCGTATCTTAAGTTTCTAGAGGCATAGACTAGGGTGAGCGCAATAGCTTTGATCTCTTTTATTTTAAATACCGGGAGTTTTAGTAGGAATGTGCCAAATTACTTTTTAATGTTTGATTATATTTGTGCATCTCATTTATTCGTACTGATGTCCGAGTTATTATTTCCTGGTAGGCATTAATGTCACATTCAGCTAGAAGCTAGTGTTTGTTTTTGCGTTATCTTTGTGGAAAAGTAATCATTTTTCAAAGGTATTTTTTAGATCTTTCTCTTTGCAATTATCAGTTGGTCTCAAGCAATTTAAGTAATTCTTTTAATCCCCAATAAAACATACCCATATTCTGCATTTAAAATCTTTGCCTTCTAGAGATCATGTTGAAAGAAAAGGCAGTTGCCGATGTTTTGGATCAGGTTCGTTCAAACGGTATTGAAGGTGCATTCCTTATTGATCGTGAAGGTAAGTATATTTTTCGAAAAACTACTTCTAGCAGAGTTTTTTTAAAGACTTGCGTCAGTTGATGATTATGCCTTTGTAGGAGTTCCATGTTTTTTGTTTAAAAATGTTTTGGAAAGAAAGCAGTTGGAGATTTCCAGTAAACTTTTTTTGTGACAAGCTTTCTTTTTTTTACTGAAACTGCTCACTGTTGGGAAGCAGTTTGTTTTTTTTGTACTGCAGGTCTTCTTTTGGCAAAAAGCACGTATGATGAAGGACCAGATGGCTCTGGTGACCCCAGTATTTCAGCTGCTCTGATTTCTTACACATGGGATACATTTGAAAGACAAGGTATCTTTTGATGCTTCATATATGTTTATAGTTCACCGGTATACATTGCTGAGCGTAAGAAGTACATAAATTTGCCTGTTAAAGCGTTTTAAGTGTGAACTACCACATTTTAGAAGTATTGGAAGGACTTAATGAACTTACCATCGAGTTTGAAAAAGGGACTTTTGTGGTGAAAAGGATTGCTAACATGCTGCTTGTGCTGAAAGCCTCAGCAGAAGCTCCTTTAGGAGCTGTTCATCAAAAGAAGAAAGCTTTGGTTGATTACCTTCGAACTCCGCTTTCTGTTGTTTCTAATTTGCAAATACAGTCTGATATTGCTGGTTGATTAGATTCCGAAGTGGGTTCACGCTCTTGGCTGTGACTCGCTTTTTGAAGTCGTTGTTTAAAAATTTATGTTGGGATTTCCATTTCAACAAATTTTTAGTGTCATTAAAAGTGGTTCTGTGATGCTTCACAAAGCACGTTACAGTTGTAGTATTTTGCATTATGTTCATTGCACTGTTTTTTCAGTTGCATAATTGAGTTTTCCTCTGCGATTTTGGTTTTTGGCTTTATCGCTTTGTAAATATGTTTTGCTGACAAGATTATATTTTGCAATGAAGAATTTGCATTTTTTTTTCTTTTTGAAGGAACCAGTTTCTGTAATAAACAGGTTCAAAACTCCTTTCAATGTATATTAGAAAAAAATGGATTATTGAAGTGCTTGATAGGTGCGAAATTATACGGCTAATATTCAACAGCTTTTTTATTTTCAAATAGAATATTAGAGACGAAAACAATCAGACATTAAAACATGCTATTTCTTAGAACAATTTACTGATTATTTGTTGAAATGTGCTTTGGCCCGTATAGTTCGTTGATTGAATTGCGGTTGCTTGTCTTAATAGTACTTAAGTTGTTTAAAATGTTTACTGATTTACTATGTTAGATTATCTTGGTACTGATGTTAAATGTTGTTCTTTGAATGACCTTCGAAAGTTTGTTTGAATTAATTATTGGTTTTATGTTAGTTTTTTTTGATGAGGAGATTCTAGCATAAGCAACTTTATTATTTGGAGAGATCCAACGGTTAGTAAAGAGAAGATAAAAAGAAGATTGGTAAGGTTTTTTGGTCGTCGGAAAGTGGTCGAAACTTTTGGATGGGGAGCAGAAGAACAATTGGGATGAAAGAAGGAATATATGGAGTTTGAGCACAGTAGGTTATTGGAAATAGATACAGGCCTTCAGTTGTATCAGAATTTTAGGGTTTTTGGATGACCAGACAATAAGAGAAAGGGAGATATTGTTGAAACTACCATCACATTCTATAGCTATAAGTCATGTCTAGTCTCATATTTTTCCTTTGGTTTTTTTTTTTCGTTTTACAACCAAGGTAAATTTTTTTTTGCAGTATAAATAAATGATTTATAATCAAATAGAATTCCTGGGTGCCAATTAGGTCAAAAGGCAATAGCATTAAATCAACCGGGAATTCTTCTACGCTATTAAAAATCTATCTCAATAAGCTAAGGACGCAAGTAAGTCCGGGCAGGGGAACGAAAGAAAAAAAAAACATGACCCATATGATAACAAAGAAAACAAACGGTAAAACCAGAAGTCACATTCTAACAGGCTAAGCTCAGCTCCAAAACATATCATTTGCATTTTAAACTAAAAAACATTTGTTAATCAGTCATAAATAATCTACACTTTATTATTGCATATTATGAAGAATTATTAACAGTTATTTTTTTTTATTTAACTTTTCCCTATTAATACGTGTAGCTACGGCTGCTACTAATGCTGCACCTCGTCCACTGCCGTCTTCAGACAACATTAATTGGAACTGCAAAATAACGTTGCTGGTAAACATTTTTACGGTTATTGTTAAGCGAATAATTGGAGAACAAAAGAAAGAGTATAGAAAAAACACTGGTTTACTTTGAGGTTTGGTTTTAGTAATTCACTAATTTTGTCGTTTAACACTTTTGGGAATGTTGGATGAAAACGATAAACTGATCCATCAACACCAACGGTCACAAACTTCTTTTCCATCTTGTTCAGTAAGGTAGCTATACCGGCTGCGCATAGGTGTGCTGCTCTAAAAATCCACTTATTGTCAATGACCACTTGCAGTAGTTTTGAAAGTTTTTTTAAATAACTAGTTTCATTCTTGTAATTATGTTCTTTTGCTGTTCACCTTGTATAAATTTTTTAGTTACTTTACACCTGTAGAACTACCGTCACTGAAACGCTGGACTGTGCTAGAAAATCTCTTAAAAACATTTACATTGGGATGTTAGACTTTCAGCGGTTTTATGTAGCTGTAAACTAGAGTAAAGGGGCCAAAAATTAAATATGATATTAGAGTTCTGAAAGTGGCTCTTGAATTTCTGAGATAAAGCTAACCGAGTACTAATAAGCTTGCAAACATAAGCAACATTAGCGCAGTCTTCGACAGTAACATCTTCAATTCCAACATCTTCAAGAATTTGGGCTGTCTTTGTAAAGGACCGACCTTCCGGATCCTCCATTTCACTAAAAAGAAAAAACTCTCGTTTGTAATTGTGCAAATCAATTTTCATATCGATTTGAAAGTGTATTATCAGTTCAAAAAAAAAAAAAAAAAAAA